GCCTGTGAATCCTGACACGCCTGCAGCTCATTTTCCTGTTGGTCAGCTTCTGTTGACTCAAGGTTGGCCTCACAGTGCTCCTCTTCTCCCAAGGAGTCATCACTGTCGCTGAGCCTTGGCTGACTCATGACACCTGCTCTGAGAGGAAGTAGTTCTCCAGCGTCTCAGAAAGAGGAAAGTCTTTCCTAACACCTGTAACTCTTGTTTCACTGAGATGCCAGGGATTGAAACTGAGCCCTTGTGCATCCAAAGCATGTGCTGTACCACTGAACCACAACAGAAGAAGAAGAAGAAGAAGAGATTGGATTTATACCCCGCCCTTCAATTGGAGTCTCAGTGCGGCTTACAAACTTCTTTCCCCTCCCCTCCCCACAACAGACACCCTGTGAGGTGGGTGGGGCTGAGAGAACTCTGACACAAACTGCTCTTTCAGGTACAGCTGTGCCAGAGCTTGTGACTGACCCAAGGTCACATCAGCAGGTGCAAGTGGAGTGGGGAATCAAACCCAGTTCTCCCAGATTAGAGTCCGCACACTTAACCACTACACCAAACTGGCTCAGCTCAACACATAAAGAGGTCCAGGAGAAGCCATCTAAACTCAGCTTAACTTGATCCAGGTGCTTACCAGGACGGCTTTTATAACTACCTGAAAACACAAGGGCCAATCTCAGTTCATAAATTAATAAGAAGCCACTCCAGGAGAGCTAGGAAGCCAGAGCAGAACTCATAAATGCAATATAGATCCCAGGAAGCCAATAAACCAGCATCCTTCCCTACCACAGATATGATTTCTGAGGGCCCGGTCCTGCCTATAAGAGCAGTGCACTGGGACCTCGACATTTAGCACATTTGCTCAAAAGGAAGGTAACCCTGAATGTAAAAGTGTCATACATACACACACAAAGCATTTTACTGGACATTACCGTAACTAGTATGTTAATGTGAGATGTAGCCCTCTCTTTTTGATGTCATGTGTGGGGGAAAAACTAGTCTTGCATTTGAGTAACAACTGAATATAGCAAGGACTGATGAATACAGCTCTTTTTTTTTAACCTAAATGCTCAACAGACTTCCCATATACTTTTATCTCAGTAATTCTTAGAACAATCCTGTAAAGGTGGGTTGGTCTTCTTAAGAGTTATGCATTTCTTTCCTAAGAAACAAAGAAAAAGTCCCTGAGAAAAAACCCCATTCATTATATTCATTGCAGTAACAAAAACAAATGCAAATATGAACAAATGAGTGAATCGCATTCACTTCTGTTACTTCCCTAGCTGTCTAGTTAAGAGAGTTCCAGGATGTCAGATGCAGGAAGAGAAAGAGTTGCTGAAAGAGAAACCGACACCTCTGCTTTCCCTCTGAAAGGAGTGTAATAATGAAAGCAAGCTATAATAAACATGAATTACAATTTTGACACAAACATGATAATGGAAATAAATGCACACATCTCTGATGTTATCTATCTATATCTATATATCTAATTCTGAAGATGCCCCCTGTGTGCGGATACCTAAATCCGCGCATCGGGGGCACCTGGGGGGGGAGGGAGATTTTTGTGCACACTTGGTACGGTCCCCAGGTGTGCACAAAAATCTTAAAACCTGAAAAAAATATCGGGGGGATACTTAAATCCCCCCAAAAGTAACAGAGCGTCCCCTGCGCCTGCGCAGGGAACGCTCTGCGAACTCCCTCGCTGCCGCCGCTTGGGGGGGGGAGAGA